TTAAGCCCTGAGCCCTTAACCCCTAATGCCCTGCTCCTTTGGTTTAGTACTACTGTAGTCTTGGCTCTATTGAAACTCATACAATCCCTAGGCCCCCCCTAATGTTGCTAATTAACTTTCAATTGTGGGCCCGAAACCGCGAAATTCCGGGGGCCGGTAGCTTTTATATTAGGGGGGGTTTAATACTAGGGGGAAGCGATTACAGCTGCAGGCTCCAGGTCTTCCTCGTCAGGGCTCCATATTTCTGTGTGGAAGGGTCTGGCTACTCCTGCAGCTCGCCTGCAAAGCCGTCGAGTACCAATGGTTACCTGCACTGTCTGATGGCCCACCCTCGAACGGCAGTCCTGAGCGGAGCAGCTCATGTTGCGCAAACCTGCCTCGAAGCCTCGTGTGCGCGCTGCACGCTTGCCAGAAGACAGCAGCAGTTGGGAGGTGTAAGGTCATATGTCTCCCAAGTAACTAACAAACATGTAAAGAGATGGAGGTGACAGATGTGGGCTATGTGAAGATGAACGTAGTACTCACAAGCGTCGGGCAGACAGACACGGCCTGACAGCTGTGGGCCCATACAGACATCTCTCGTCGGATCTCGCACAGTGTTTCACGACGGGTGTGAAATGTCAATGACGGCCGCTACGGCTGTTCAAGAAATCATGCGGTATTGGCGATATCTCACCTGCTTTGACGGTTGGCCTTGAACTTATCACTCCAGTTGGGTGCCAACCATGCTGTTTCCATGGCCAACACATTTCACAAATGTGCACTCAACCCTTGGTGGTACTTACCTGTAGGTGTCCGACCAGAATGACATGAACAAAGCAATGAACCCTGTCCCTGGACACTGAACAATGAAACATCGTCCAGACTCTCAGCCAGCCCGGCGGTGCTGGTGTGGCGTCCTCGGAGAATTAGGCATGGAGAGCTTGAGCTAAAGGTCGTGCATAAAGATTTGTCCTCCGAATCATTGGCGCCCTGAGCCCCATGACAACCCTTTCGGAAGCCTGCGCGAATACGACTTGCCGGTGCTCTTGTGATGGAAGCCATTGCTGCGAATATAGCGGTCTGAATCAGGAAACAGTAGTGCTAGTACTACCCCTACAAACCCCAATATAGCTATAGTAGTACAATATACACCATCAAAACCCTAGTCTATCTCGTACAGCCTTTGAAGTCCACCTTTCGGTGCAAATGCATCCTGAGCTACCGGCTGGACCGCACAGAGGGTCGATTGTTGTCGTCACGGCCCCAGCTGTCGTTGTGGGGATGGTGGTTGTTGTGGTGGTGGTCGTTGTCGGGACTGTGGTCGTTGTGGGGATGGTGGTAGTTGTGGGGATGGTGGTCGTTGTGGGGATGGTGGTTGTTGTGGTGGTCGTCGTTGTCGGGACTGTGGTCGTTGTGGGGATGGTGGTAGTTGTGGGGATGGTGGTCGTTGTAGGGGTGGTGGTCGTTGTGGTGGTGGTCGTTGTCGGGACGGTGGTCGTTGTGGGGATGGTAGTTGTTGTGGTCGTTGTCGGGACGGTGGTCGTTGTGGGGATGGTGGTCGTTGTGGGGATGGTGGTCGTTGTGGGGATGGTAGTTGTTGTGTTCGTTGTCGGGACGGTGGTCGTCGTGGGGACGGTGGTCGTTGTAGCGATGGTGGTCGTTGTGGGGATATTGGTCGTTGTGGGGATGGTGCTTGTTGTCGGGATGGTGGTCATTGTGGGGATGGTAGTTGTTGTGGTCGTTGTCGGGACGGTGGTCGTTGTGGGGATGGTGGTCGTCGTGGGGATGGTGGTCGTTGAGGGCATGGTGCTTGTTGTGGGAATGGTGGTCGTTGTGGGGATGGTGGTTGTTGTGGGGATCGTCGTTGTTGTGGGGATAGTGGTGGTTGTGGGGACGGTGGTCGTTGTGGGGATGGTGGTCGTTGTAGGGATGGTGGTTGTTGTCGGAATGGTGGTTGTTGTGGCTGTTGCGGATGTGGTGCTGCCTGTTGTTGTGGTGCCGGTGGCGGCTGTCGTGGTATCGCCAAGCTTCTGGATTAGCTGCAGGAAGGCATTGCTGAATGCCCTCTCTAAGGCACTGATTTGGAGAATGCCTGGTTGGGCAGCATTCCCTTGGCTGAGCTGCGTCAGCTGCGGTGATGCGGTGATTCCTAGGACACTACGGGCCACGGCACCTGCATCATCGAAGATTCTTAGCACATCCCCCGTATCGAAAGGCTCTACATCTGGCACCGGGAGCTGGGTTGCACCAGCAGGCAGGTCACCAAGGAAGACCGTCAGCAATTCTGTTGCCGTGGTCGTCGCTGCGGTGGTGGTGGTGGTGGTGATGGTGGTGGTGGTGGTGGTGGTCGTCTTGTCCTTCTTCTTCTTAATGTCCCGAATAATGGCATGGAGTTTGCGCAGGAAGCGCTTCGTGAGCGCTTTTATGCTGATGCGCCCTTTCTTCTTGAAGAACTTGGCATCCGTGCCTCCCTGCATCAACGGCAATGAAGCTTCTTCGATGATGTCAAGGATATCGCGCGCCTCCCCGAGCTGAGAGTCATCCTGGATCACGATAGTATCGCCAACGTCGAAGCCGGAAATGTCGTCGATCAGGAGTTCGGTGTCCCCGGGGCTTGCATCGTAGGCGAGGTCAGCCGTTGGTGGTCTTAAGAATGTTGTTGTAGCTGTGGTCGCCAGCTCACTCAAAGCCACATGTTGAGGCTGCAGTTCTCCATCGCGAGCAAGTCCCTTTTGCAGAAGCACGGACGTGTCATTGGCAGCGACTGCACATTCCAATCCGCTGCCACATGCTTCGTGCGCACCTGTTGCACATGCCAGGGAGATGAGGGCTGCTTGCAAAGCAAACGTCCTCGGGCATCCGGACATCATTGTCAGCGGCATCACGATCTCGAGCAAAAATGCTTTGTGTAGCAATCCTTGATGGTGGGATCTGAAATAACTCGTGGCACCTTTCATGACACAGAGGTGTACTTC